CTCCTGATGTCTCAAAAAGGCACTATAGCAATGAAAGCACAAATAGATCTATTTCATGATTTGAAATATTTGAGTAACTTTTCCTGGAATGTCTTTGTAATTCTCTGTCAATAGCACAGGCAGTTCCTCTTTCATTAAAAGCATTTAAACTTTTCAAATTAACCCAGACCAGTGAGAAAGAACCAAAATGTGAAAAAAAATCACATTCGTGTTCCTCATCTCAGCTCACAAGCAGAAAAAGGAAAAAAATAATTGGTCACCAAATTTGACGTTTGGCAGGTCACAAATCTAACTGATTTATCAACGTGTCCAATTTATGCTTGACCTTTCAAAATAAATGTGTAAAACACCGCAGAAATCACAGAAGCAGCACATCTCAATAATATTTGAGTTGTGACGAGAGGGAGACGGTGAATTAGTGAGGCTTCATCAGGTAGGGCTTAGATCTGTTCTGGATTTGGAAAGTCCCCAGACCATCCCTTCGAGTATAAGTTCACGGATTTTCTTACATTCTGAATCATCTTAGCGAAAATTTGTAGCTCGGGTTGTGGATGCAGTTGTTTTTTTGTTGGCCAAGCCAGTGTTCTGTGGTGTGCAGACTTTTCATTACCCTTCTAGGCACCATCATCAGTGCGACCTCTATTTGAAGTGTTGGTGTTCTGCTCCATTCCTAATCTACATGATGCTGTGGTGTGATGGGTCTTGTCACTCCCGGTTCTATTTGTCAGCAGCGGTCTGTATACAGGGTCTATTTCTATGTGATTGTTAACGGAGTCCCGTGATGAGAACCAGGCCTCCCGAAATTCCTTCGCATGCCTGTTGCTTCCTTGTCCCTGTATAGAGACCACTGCTGAAAAACAGAACTCAAAGTGACAAGACCCACCACACCAGAGCATCACAGAGATTCAGGATGGAGCAGAACACCAGCACTTCGATTAGATGTCATACCGATGATGTTCCCTAGAATGGTAACAAAACTTCTGCACACCACTATACAACTGGCTCGGTGAGCAAATAAACAACCACATTGTGAATCATTGGCATACTGATCTCTCCCTTGCAAGCTGTAGCCCTTCCTCACCTGCACTCACTGTTTTTAAATCTTTTTCTTTCTTCGTTCTCTCCGCCTAGGATCATTAGCTCTTCACAGAGTGAGCCCTGGACGGGACCTTTAGTGAGTGACCCCCTTACACCTCCATAAGCCCAGAGAGACTGGCAAAGAGCTAGTCACGTGACTCATCAACCAGAAGGTGGAGGCCATTCAGCCCTTCACACCTGTTCTATCATTTTGCACCGCAGCTTTTTTAGCCTACCTTTGCTCCAAATCCCTTAATTCCTTTACCCCACAAAAGTCTGAACGTCTCGTTCATAACATTTCCATTTGCTCCCGTGGCCTTTTGAAGTAGAGACTTCCACTCCGCTTTGTGTGAAGAAATGCTTCCTGATTTCCTGACTAAATTATGAACTCTCCTGCTTGGTATTCCCATCAGAGGAAGTCATATGTACCCTACAGAAGCCCTTGTAGCAATGTAAACACCTCAATCAGCTCACCCTCAATCTTCCACACTCCATGGAGTAAAAGCCTGATGTAAACTCTGGATTTTTTTTTTCTGTATTTTTGATAATGGACTGAAATAGGAAAAGGACAGTTGTAAAAAGCAAGTATTGTGGAAGGGATTGTTATACTTTCTGAAAGCAGGTATTGGAAATGGTGTTTACACTGCTGTTTCTTCAAGCAGTGTTGCAGACGAGCTGGCATCAGCATTATGTAATGCTTCCAGCAACAATTAGCTGGTTGGTGTCCACTTTTGACGAGAAAAGCCTTCTACCTGACAACAACCACATGATTGGCTCCTAGGTAGCTGAGCAGCTTGTGGGTCTGAACAGTATGGCCAGAAGCCTTTAGACTTCCAGGGTGAGAAGGTGGTCTTTCTCTCTTTGCAGTAAAAAAACACCAAAAGCCTGAAGAAAGCCCCTAACCCAGTTGCTGTAAACTACAGCTTTTAACCAGTAACTAAAAGATTTTATAATTTACAAACCAGTGCATGCTGCAAGGAAGTGAAAAGCACTTGGAAATGAGAGAGAGAGATCGACAAATAGCAAGATGTGACAAAGTAAAAACATCATTTCAGTGAAGTGGGTGGACAGGGGCCATTAAACAGACTTCCCAGAATTTCCCAGTACCGTTAACACCAATTTTTTTTATGTCTGTCAGTATGTGTGCGTAAAGGAGTTTTATAAGGGGTTAGAGTTGTAACTCGTAGAGTTTCGTATTGTCAATTTGCACTCATTTACCTGTAGTTAGGACTGATTTATTTGGGGAGGTTGTGGAGGGAGGGTCTCTTTCTGTTGGTCACTCTGTTGGTATAATATCAAATGGGTTTGGTGTGCTCCCAGTCCAGTATTTGAAGAAATTGGTTAGTCACCTGCTAGCATTCTGTGGCCAATTTGCAAAGAGCAGTGTGACAGTGTTAATGTTAACAATGTTAACTATTCTACCTGTGCAGTGTGGTGACATCATTGATCATGAGGTTGAAGCAGTGGAAGAAGAATCACCTTCATTTCATGCTGAACCCAAGAAGAAATGGTTGATGTTGAAACCCAAAATGGAAAATTGTTCAATTTTTAGTGAAATTCTACATCTACTTAACGCCTCAGGTGTAAAACATCCAAGGGGTTTCACAGGGGCTTAACCAAGTTTAACTTCTGATCACACATCACAATGATTGCAGAGGGCCCCCGTTTCCATCTCTCTGACATTTCTGGGCTTCACCAGCGCCTCCTTTGTGTTTCGAGTGGAATAGTCACAAAGCAGCAACATAATGCTCGTGGAAGTGTTCAGAAAAAGACCTGTAGAGTCATTCTTGGCCCCGATTCCCACAGTTACTGGGATGATCTTCACAATTGCAGCCTGGAGTCACTCAAAAACAAAACATAATCGACTCTGCCATTCTTTCACAAAATTGCTGAACTCTAAACTTCACTACTTGTTCCCAGTGACAGATTTAACAACAGCAACCACTGTCAGAGCTCAAAATATTGCAACGAAGGAAGATTTAAAGACATCCTAATCCATATCTCATCTACACAATAAATCAACCCTCATCAACTCCGAACCCTAAAAACATAAAGACCCTAAACTGTCCTCTCTAACATTCCTTTATATTTAGATTTTACTTGGAAAAATTATTCTTTGTAAAACCCACCTCAGTTTGAAAAGAAAGAATAATTTATATACCCTCCTAGGGGCTCCTATTGAAATACACCTAGGCCATCTTGGCCCACACATATTACCAAACAATATACAAGGTGTAGGAATTAGGACCGGGAGGAGGTCATTTGGCCACTCATTATTTATTATTTACTTATTGTCACATGTATTTTGTTACAGTGTTGTACAGTGTTGCCACTCGGTAAGACATGGCTGAGCAATGACATCGACTCTGCCTTCCTGCAATTTTGCTACATCCCTTCAATCCTGTATTGTCCAAAATTCTATCAATTTTAAAGAACAGCTTCTTTCCTGCTGTTATCAAACTTCTGAACAGACCTCTCAAATATTAACTCTGATCTCTCTCTTTCTCTACAGCTATAACACAATATTCTGCACTTTGTATGGTACAATCTGCCTGTATAGCATGCAAAACAACACTATTCACTGTATCTCGGTACATGTGACTACAATAAATCAATCAATCAATCAGTCAGTCTTCACTATACTCAGTAATCCAGCATGCAAAGTGCTCTGAAATAGAGAATTCTAAATAGTGACCAGACTCTGGGGAAAGAAATTTTTAACCATTCAGTTCCAAATGCCAACTGTTTATTCTGAGAGTGCGAAACTGCCTCTACTTGGCTGCTACTTGACACCAGGAAACATTGCTGCTGGTTTCACTCCTAGCACCTGCAATTAACCCATTTCAATAATCTGCACTCCCACAATCCATCTGGGATGCCAAATAATAGGCTGAAATGTTGCTGTTTCCTGACTTATACTGAGAGGCAAATTGCATGGTCAAGTGAAGGCATGTGCCTTTGTTTTATTCTGTATCTAACCCCATGCTGTCCCTGTCCTGGGATTGTTTGACAGGGGACAGCATAGAAGTAGTTTTATTCTGTATCTAACCCCATCCTGTCCCTGTCCTGTGAGTGATTGATGGGGACAGTGTAGAAAAAGCTTTCCTTTCAGTTTAAAAGAGTCAAGGAAGCTTTACTTTCCATTTACTTCCAATTTAAATCAGTCAAGGATACTTTACTTTCAGTTCAATAGAGGTAGCTCTACTCTGTATCTAATCTTGTATGTCCCTATCCACGTACAGTGAATCACAAAAGTTAGTATGCATGTGCAGCAGGTAATTATGGAAGCTAACAGCATGTTATCATTTATCACAACAAGAACTGAATACAAAAGTAGGGAGGTTATGTTTGATTATACAAAGCATTGGTAAGACCACACCCGGAGTACTGTGTATTATATTGGTGACCTTATTTAAGCAAAGAGGTAATTGCATTGGAAGCAGTTCAGAGCATGTCTACCAGATTATTACCTGGAATAGGGACACAGTGTTACCTAATGAGGAAAGGTTGGACAGACAAAGGCTTCTATGTGCTGGAGTAAGCAGTGAATTGATTGAACTATGTAAGATCCTAAGGGTCTTGACAGTATGGATGTGGAGAAGATATTTCCTGTCATAGGGGAATCTAGAACTAGGCTACTGCTTAAAAATCAGAGGTTGCCCACTTAAAACCGAGATGAGATAACTTATATTATAAGGGGTCATGAGTCTTTGGCTCTCTCGTGCTCAAAAGATAAAGGAAGTAGAGTCCTTGAATATTTTTAAGGCAGAGGTGAATAGATTATTGAAACCAAAGGGTGAAAGGTTATCAGGGGTAGGCTGGAATATGGATTTGAGATTACAATGGACTGAATGGTCAACACCTGCTCACAATTCATACATTTCAATGTTTGTAAGTACACCAGATAGAAGTTTAAAACTGTCAGCTAAAAACAAAGTTGTTTGCAAAAACAACTGGTTTTTAATTTTTTTTATTATTACCTTTAGCAATGTTCATGGGGAATAATGATGATAAGATACACATTTATACAGATAATTATATAAACATGTTGTACATATTTAACCAATAACTTAATCTACCAACAAAAAATAAAACAAGGAAAAAAAATGTAAATACTGCGAGAAAACAACATATGTTTATAGTGATAGATACAAAATAATTTAAAAATCTTCACTGCGGAAAAGGCTATACTGCAGTGAGTGACAATATATTGCACCTTGTCCTCTTATTCTGATTTTTTTTTGCTTTTTGTTTTTAAAAAATATTTTTGTCAGTAACTCTCCCCTTGACATTCCCAGATGAAAAAAAAATCAGCTTCCTTTCAAATTATTATTCGCTGTACCATATTTGAAAATAAAACACACACACCGGGTGTCAATTTATTCAACAAAAGAGAAAAAGGATTTTTTTTAAGTTGTATCTCACACATGACAGTAATTGCCCTCCTTCTCTCCCACCCTCTCCGATATTATATATAACCTATACAAAGTGCAGCTATATATGCCGAGTGCCACTAGCAATCCATCGTATAAACATTTAAAGCTGATTTTTAATATGGCTGTTCGGTCCTTGAGAAATATTCATGAAATATTTTTATTGACCTGATACTTATGAAGTTGAAAAGGAAAATGATGTGACTACCAGTTGAAGGTACAATCTGCTTGTCTCCCTTTGCCCCACTTTGAAAGAATGCTAAACTAAGGTATAGCCAATATGTGGACGTGTCTTACTGGCTGTGCTCTTTGTTTTAAAAAGCCACTGATGCGCATTTTATGTTCAGGAGTGGAATGGAATAAAAGAAGCAACTTGCATTTATAACATGTCTTTGCAAACTGTCAAGGTAAAACCTCACAACCAAAGAATTACTGTACAGTCACTGTCGTTATGTGGTAATGGATATTTTATTTCCAATGTTATTTTGATGGCATATGCAGAGCAGAAAATATTTCAGGGTGCAGGAGGAGAAAGGGCTCATAGATGCTGGTATTGTGAATTTCTACTGAGTGAACTGCGCTGATGTGATCCAATTCCTCAATACCCTTCCTGTCTTATTCAGCATTATATAACACAATTACATTATATAGTCATCAGATCTCAAGTGCACGGCCATATTTATCCATCCCTCTTCTACAAAAGTATAAATTTACACAGCACAGACACAGAGCTCAGAGCACAGGAAAATATATTGAATAGGACACTTCTTTTTTCTTCACCCTGTATCTAGTTCAACACTGCACAGTGAGAATTTCCTTCATCACGTGTCAAACTTTCTAAGTGAGCATGTTTGGAGTACTGTACAAGAAGGAGAAGGAAGGGAACTTTAATTTTGAGAGAGTTATAAAATAATGGTAAGAACTCTACTGTATCATCATTGCTATATTTCAGCTCCGAGGTTACAGTGTTGGAAGGAACCAGCTTTGTTTAAATGGCACACTGATTTTGAAGTTGATACTGCATAACTCAAATCTAAATGACCGTCATAAAAAACAGTGTTTTTCAAAGCAACCTTTAACAAAATCTCCTACCTTGGCCCCACTGTAAAATGCTTGTGCGATATTCTCAAACTGCTCCTTCTCAAATTCCTTCCTCCTTTGGGACTCTTTTTAAAACCTACACCTCCCCAAAAATTTCCTAATATCCAGCCCCATGTCAAATTTTGCCTCATTTGACATATTTAAAGGTGTTTTGCAACATTAAAGGTGCCATATAAATGCATTTCTTTGTTGTTTAATAATTTGTTGACACGTTCTGAGGCCAGTTTGGCAATATGCTTAAAATGCTCCGGCTTAAAGTAACTAGTGTTACGATGAGTTTGCATGCACCCAATGTGTTCTCTAATATTGGGCCTAATTATTGTTAAAGCACAATGTCACTTTTAGGTCTTAAGTGGGGGCAGCAATCTGTCACCTTAAATTAAGATGAAGACGGCAAACATCCTGGAGATCTCATGTGTATTTATCTGCCAGCTCATTAAGTATTAATAATAATGTACACAATTAATTATCTACACAGAAAGGTCTTTTTCACTCATAGAGTTGGTGTGTGGCTGACACTGAGAATTGACTTGGAAGATACAGACTCATTTGTTAATGGATGCAGGCTCTCGCTATCTACCCCACTTCCCACACACCTCATCCATCCTCATGTCTTGCTCAGATGATCCCCAGTGGCTTCCCAAAAACCTTCCCCAACACTATCCCCCGGCAATGTTTCCCCACCTCTCTTCAAACAGACATTCTTCACCCAATTCCACAAGTGAATAACAGCTCGCTATCACAATGGGCTCTATCCTATCTTCACCTCACCCAGATTCACCACATCATGACACCATCAGTATGCCCATCCTCCCTGAAGGGGTCTTCACTGATGTGACCCACCTTTCACCAGTTAACTCAACACAGCAAAATGACTGAGGTTAGGCGTCAACATGGACCAACACCCCAGGATCTACGCCCAGACAGTGTATTTGACCTCATGACCCTGTCCCAGGAAGCTCACTCTAAGGATGTGTTTCATCATAGAATCAGCACTAACCTTCCCCTCAGAACAACAAAAATATCTGCACAACATGAAACAATTAAAGCAAGACAAACAGAAAGAAATATATTTCAAAGTTAAGTGGCTTTGCTTATTTTTTGAGAGTGTTTTTTTTTGTGTTTTTAAAATGAAAAGAATCCAGCATCAGTTATTAGGTTTTATCAGTTAATTTATCCTGAATTCTCTGATTTACAATATTCACATCGATAACAAGGATGAAAGTCCTTGATACTTTACTGATGCAATCCTCCCTCTCTGTGTCTCTCAAATTATCCTGAAGAGGCAATGGCAATCCTGTACAGTTTCCTGGTATATGTCTGAAGAAGGGCACAGTAATTTTTTTTTATTTGACTCCTACTCAAAAGTCTTGCAAACTTGACCAGGCAATTACTGGGGGACCCATTCTCCTGCACCTCCCCAAACCCCTGCAATGTTTCCAAACAACACATCGTCCGTGATTTCTCTTCGCTTCCTTTTTTTTTGAAAGGAAAAAAAAAGATAAAAGGCAAAAACCTTGTGTACTGTTTGTTTTTCTCGCTTCTCTCCTGTCTTTCTCACTCTCCGTGTTGTCCTTCTCTGAGGGAGTGGCCATTCTTCCTAGCCCATGGCGGTCACCATGCTGGAAGGGTGAGGGTGTGCGAACGAGAGGCTGGATGATGGATGAATGGGGGTAGGCGTGGGCAACACATGACCCGCGTGGCTGAAAGGGGGCAGGTGCCCCATGTGCTGCATGTGCCCCGCCAAGCTGAACGACGAGGTCTTGTCTTGCATGCACTTGGACAGCTCCTCGAAACCATCCGACATCCTCTTGCTTTTCTTCGACTTGCTTGACATCTTCCTGTTCCGGGTCTGAATGCCTTCCTTCTTCATCGTCAGGGGCCGGTTCACCTAAAACCAAACAAAAAAAAAATCATATCAAACAAATCAGATACTTTAGAGACTTTGTCAGATACTTTAGAGACTTTTAAGCAACTCTTGGATAGGCACATGGAGGATAGTAAAATGTAGTGAATGCAGGGTAGATTGATCGTAGTAGGATAATAGGTCGGCACAACATCGTGGGCCAAAGGGCCTGTACTCTGCTGTACTGTTCTATGATCTATGTTCAAATTCACCAAATGATGCCTTTTCTAATTCGTGCACAGGATGAGGGCGTCACTGACCAGGCAGCATTTATTGCCCATCCCTAATTGCCCAGAGAGCAGTTAAGAGTCAGCCACATTGCTGTGGGTCTGGAGTCACATGTAGGCTGCAGCAGGTGAGGATGGTAGATTTCCTGCCTTAAAGGACACTCGTGAGCCAGATGGGTTGTTTTTTTTTTTGCCTATAATTTGTTTTGGGGTCATCATTACACTCTTAATTCAAATTCCAACAAGTGTCATTGCAGGACTTGAACCAGGATTCCCAGTACATTACTTGGGGTCACTGGATTAGTAGTTGAGTGATGATATCACTGGGCATCATCTCCCCTCAAGAATCCTTAAAATTTGAGCCAGGCCATTCGGGTAAGGGTGTCAGGAAACACTTCTTTACCCAAAGGGGTTTGGATATCAGGACCTCTCTTCCCCCCAGAAGAGGCTAGAGAGTCAGTTAAAAATTAAATTTGTTAGATGACAGCACCAAGGTAAAAAGAGTGAACATACAGATCAACTCAAAAGTTCAATCTATTTCTATGAGTCACTGTCAAATTTTCATAGCAAGGCTATCAGCTGCTGGCTAATTGGGTTTAAGCAATGGGTTTGCGAGATGTTACCTGGACTTCAGCGGCTTAAATTATTAGGAGAGATTATACAAATTAGGTTCATTTTCTCTAGAATTTAGAAGGTGAAGGGTGATCTGGTCAAAGTCTTCAAAATATTAACAGTAAAAGACAGGACAAATGAGGATAAACTATTTCCACTGGTTGGAGATTCTAGAACTAGGGGGCATAGTCTGAGAATTAGGGCCAGGCTGTTCAGGAGAGATATTAGGAAGCACTTCTACACATAAAGGGTGGGAGAGGTTTGGAACTCTCTTCCACAAACGGCAGTTGATATTAGAACAGTTGTTAATTTTAAACCTGAGATAGATTTTCTTTTGTTAAGCCAAGGTATTGAAGAATATGGCCAAAGACAGGTATGTGGAGTTAGGCCACAGATCAACCATGATCTCATTGAATGACAGAACAGGCTCAAGGGAGTCAATGGCCTCCACATTTTCCTTAGGTTTCCTTTTAGATCGCCACATTTCTCTGATCCCTCCCCAGGGCACTGATTCACCCTATGGAAAGATTACACTGTCACCAGTGTAAAACGCAACACAAGTGGACTTAAGACAATGAGTATCAACAGCCTCTGATGCCATTAAAAGCAATGATATAGAATGATGTCAAATTTACAGCAGAGTAACAAACTATTAAGCCCAAAGCTCTACAACAAGCCTCCTCTCCTCGGCCCCCACCTCCAACTCCATAAAATGTAGCACATAGAACAGTACAGTACAGGAACAGGCCCTTCAGCCCACCATGCTGTGCCAAACATGATGCCAAATTTAACAAATCCCTCTCCTTCCCATGGTCCATATCCCTCCATTCCTTGCATATTCATGTGCTTCTCTGAAAGCCCCTTATATGCCCCTATCCACCATTACCCTTGGCAGTATGTTTCAGGCACCTACCACTCTCTGTGTAAAAAACCTGTCCCTCACATCTCCTTTGAACTTTCCCCCTCTTACCTTAAATGCATGCCCCATAGTATTAGATGTTTCAAGGAGTTGGGGAAGTAGCCCATTCAGCCCATCTGATCTGCTCCACCATTCAATGAGGTCATGGCTGATTTGACAATCCTCAATGCCACGTTCCTCCCTTTTCCCCATAACCCTCAATTCCCTTACTGATTAAAAGTCTGTCTACCTCAGTCTTGAATATACTTAACCATCTAGCCTCAACAGCCCTCTGTGGTAAAGAATGCCACAGACTCATGACCCTCTGAGAGAAGAAATTCCTCCTCATCTCTGTCTTAACTGTGTGACCCCTTATTCTGCGAATTTGCCGTGGTTCCAGACTCGCCCACAAGGAGATTGCGTTCCCTGGTCAAATCCCCTAAGAATCTTGGATATTTCAGTAAGGTCACTTCTCATTCTTCTGAACACACCCTGTCAATGTTTCCTTTTGACCCCTTCTCCCTCATGTGTTTACACAATTCCTCTTCTGCATATCACAGACGCTCACATTCACCCATTGCCCAAATGACAACTGACTATCAATCGACAGTTCAGTGGGAATCCTGGCTGATTGGTTCCACTCCTTCACCCAGAATCATTGACTCTGACTGATGCAGTTTGACCACTGTGACCAAAGGTCACTGTGACCAAAGGTCCCTGTGACCAGCAGGTAACAATGTGACAATGAACCAACTCCATACGCATTGGCACCACTGCTCTCTTGTCCATATTCTTGCTTCAGTGAAGCCCTTCAGGATGTTTAATTATGCTAAAGGTGCTAGAAAAATCCAATTTGTTATGTTAGTGGAATTGGTAACCTATTTAAATTAAACCAAAGGCACTGCAGTGAGATGGTAGATTCAGGAATACATTAGGTGTTAACCTGTTCGTCTCCAGTCATCTCCAGAATCACCATTTGTTCTAAGCCATGAATGGATCTGTAATCAACCTCAAAAAATCACTCCTCTGCACTTGCCTCAAAAACAACAACACTTGCAATTAATCATTCCCTTCTCCCATTTTCCTATCATAGAATCTCTACAGTGTGGAAGCAGGCTATTCAGCCCATACTGACCCTCTGAAGAGCATCCCACCCTATCCGTGCATTTCCCATGCCACTCCACATCCCTGGACACTACCACAATTTAGCATGGCCAATCCACCCTAACCTGCATATCTTTGGACTGTGGCAGGAAACCAGAGCACGCGGAGGAAACCCACGCAGACACAGAGAGAATGTGCAAACTCCACACAGACAGTTGTCTAAGGGTGGAATCGAACCTGGTGCTGTGAGGCAGCAGTGCTAACCACTGAGCCACCGTGCCACACTGTATCCTTAAAGTCAAAAGTACATAATCCCAAGATTGTGAAGGTGCTCTGTTGTGTCATTTATCTGTCAAAAGGAGCAGTTGGGCCCCCCTGCCTTGCTGTTTAATGATGCAGATATCCTCCAGAGGATGATTGGCAATAGCTGCACTGACAGCTGCAGGGAAGGGGTGGGGTGCTGACTAGCGTTGTCACTGGGTTTGTTTTATTCACTTGTGGGACATGGGCGTCACTGGCCGAGCCAGCATTTATTACCTGTCCCTCGTTCCCCTTGAGAAGGTGGTGGTGAGCTGCCTTCTAGAACCGCTGCAGTCACACGCTATAAGTAGACTCACAATGCCATTAGGGAGGGAATTCTAAGATTTTGACCGAGTGACACTGAAGAAACGGCAATATATTTCCAACACAGGTTAGTAATCAAACATCCAAGCAAATCTTCAGGGTGCATTGGGTCAAATTCCATCGTGGGAGCAGGCAAAAGATGAATTGATCATAAAGTGATCTAGAATTGAAAGCTCAGAATGCTACTATTAAAACAGTCATCAATTATTGTTTTAAAAAACTCATCTGGTTAACTAATGTCCTTCAGGGAAGGAAATCTACTGTCTTTACCCAGGCTGCACATTACCTACACATGACTCCAGGCCCAAAGTAAGACTCTTAACTGCCCACTGAAATGTGTAGCAGCCACTCAGTTCAAGAGCAATTGAGGATGGAAAACAAATCCTTAACAGTGACATCCATATCCCATTGAAGAATAAACAGAAAGGGAAGCAGCCCTGCACATGGAGGCCATTCAGCCCATTTAGCTCTTTTTACATGTGTTAATAGAGTGCACCTCTTTACACAAATCCCTGTGACTCTCACCTTTGGAGAGCACAGCCCTGTTCCAGTCACATTTCAGAGGGGCGTGAGACAAACTCCTCAATCTGGACCCACAAAGCACTTTGGAAAAGCAACAGGTATTTGACCCAGCAACACCGCACTGTACATTGTGCATTGATGAGCTGTGCAAGACTGGGTAAGCAGGTGCAGCAGGATTAGGTCACCCACAGGACAGTCATGGTTAAGTTCTGTTGAACTCGAAACATTAACGCTGTTTCTCTCTCCACAGATGCTGCCAGACCTGAGTTTCCCTGGCATTTTCTGTGTTTATTTCAGTGGGTGCACCAGCCTGCTTTTTATTTCCTCATTCACAGGGTTTAGGGGTCATTGGCAAGACCAGAATTTGCTGCCCATCACCTAATTGTCCTTCTGAAGGTGGTAGTCAGCTAACTCATTGAACATGTTATACTGCTTTGGTAGACCATTACATGGAGCAGTTGACAGCAAACCACATTGCTGTGAGTCTGGAGTTTCATGTAGACCAAACCAGGTAAGGACAGCAAATTTCCTTCCCTAAAGGACATCAGCGAAACAGCCAGGTTTTCACAACAGTCTCTGGACTTGTGTCTCAAATACTGACACAAGTATTTTAATTTCAGATTTCATGGCAAGTTAAATTCCCCAGTTGTTGGGTGGGATCTCAACTCAACTCCAAAACATTAGTTCAAGATTCTCGATTACAAAGCCAGTGAAATAAGTGCTATGTTACTGATGCAGCAGTAGTCAGGCCACTGAAAAAAAATGCACTGTTCTCCACACAAAGCCCAGCAAGTTTCACACCGACATGAAACAGAGCCTTAACTTAAAAATGTCAACTAAAGGACAGCAGCACCAAAAGACTGTCACTCCCTCAGTACTAACACTCTGTCAGTGCTACACTCCCTCAGCACTGACCCTCTGACAGTGTGGCACTCCCTCAGCACTGACCCTCCGACAGTGCGGCACTCCCTCAGTACTGACCCTCTGGCAGTGCGGCACTCCCTCAGCACTGACCCTCCGACAGTGCGGCACTGCCTCATCACTGACCCTCCGACAGTGCGGCACTCCCTCAGTACTGACCGTCCAAACATGCAACACTCCCTGACAGTGCCACACTCCCTCAGTACTGACCCTCTGACAGTGCAGCACTCCCTCAGCACTGACCCTCCGACAGTACGATACTCCCTCAGCACTGACCCTCTGACAGTGCGGCACTCCCTCAGCACTGACCCTCTGACAGTGCGGCGCTCCCTCAGCACTGACCCTCCGACAGTGCGGCGCTCCCTCAGCACTGACCCTCCGACAGTGCAGCGCTCCCTCAGCACTGACCCTCCGACAGTCCGGCACTCCCTCAGCACTGACCCTCCGACAGTGCGGCACTCCCTCAACACTGACCCTCTGAAAGTGCGACACCCCCTCATTACTCACCCTGCAACACTGCAGCACTCCCTAGCAGTCCTAGTTCATGTACAGACAGATCTGCACAATATTCAGCTTTAGAGTTATCAGTGCTAAATACTATTTGTGCAACAAATTGCCAGGCAATGACCAACCTCAACAAAGAAGATTCTAACCATCACCCCTTGACATTCAATGGCATCACCATAGCTGAATACCCCATTATCAACATCCTAAGGGTTATTATTGACCAGAAACTGAACTCAGTCAGCTATATCAATTACATAGCGACAACAGCGGGTCAGAAACAAGGAAATCTGCAGCAACTCTCATCCACTGATTCTCCAAAGCCTGTCTTCAATCTACAAAGCACATGTCAGGAGTATGATGGAATACTTCCCACTTGCCTGAATGTGTGCAGCTCCAACAACACTCAAGAAGCTTGACATCATCCAAGACAAAGCAGCCGCTTGATTGGCATCACATCCACAAGCATCCATTCCCTCCACCACCGACGCTCAATAGCAGCAGTGTGTACTATCTACAAGACGCACTGCAGAAATTCACCAAGGCTCCTTAGACAGCACCTTCCAAACCCACGACCACTTCCATCTAGAAGGACAAGGGCAGCAGATACATGGGAACACCACAACCTGCAAATACCCCTCCAAGCACTCACCATCCTGACTTGGAAATATCCTGCCATACCGTCAGTGTCACTGGGTCAAAGTCCTGGAATTCTCTCCCTAACAGCAGAGAAGGTATCCCAAGGATTGTAGCAGTTCAAGAGGTTGACTCACCAAGACTTCTTCCATGGCAATTTTAGAAAGGTAATAAATGCGGGGCTAACCTGCAATGCTCACATTCCATGAACACACGAAGAAATCTGACCCTCTGACAGCATGGTACTCCCTCAACACTGACACTCTGACAGTGCAGCACTCCCTCAACACTGACACTCTGACAGTGCAGCACTCCCTCAGTACTGACCCGCTGACAGTGAAGCGCTCCAGTAGTACTGATCCACTAACGTTGTTGCACTCCCTCAGTACTGACCCTCTGACAACAAAGCACTCCCTCAGTACTGACCCTCCAACAGTACGGTTCACCCTCAGTATTGCACTGTTGGATCTGGGATTTTGTGTTAAATTGTCTCAATTGGGACTTAAACCCAAAACTATCCAAGTCAAAGAAAGAGCACTAATCCACTGAGCTTTCAACATCATTCTTTTCATTAACAAATGTCAAATATAAATGCAGTACATTAACAAAAACAGCGCATACCTTTAAAACAATTAATTAATCCAAAAATTTTGGATAAAAATCAGATAAAAATTGACACTGAAATAAACAAGATATCTGAACAAGTCACCAAATATCCTCCTCCTCCCTTCCACTGGTTTCAAAACTCTTGTTTCCATCTTCTTTCAGTTTTGATAAAAGATCATAAATGATGAAGGCTCCTGAAATATTAACTGTTTCTCTCTCCATGAGAAGTTGCCAGATCTGCTGAGCCTTTCCACATTTTCTGTTTTTGTTACTTTGTTAAAGAGGTAAGTTCTGAGCCACAGAATTCCAGAAAATGAAGCCTATTTCCATCTGTTGGGATGAAGTCAGTTGTATGTAGAGTAACTAAGCTGTTGGTAGAAGGCAGTCAGGGTTTTAGGATTTATCCTCCATATTATACCATTATTATCACGGGGGAAGCTGGAAGCCCACTGACTGAGGACATGAAAACAGACAAAGTGTTTTCTGTTGCTGTTAAGCAAATCCTTTAGACCTAAATTCACCGATAGTTGTATTGTAAATCTAACTTTCAACTATACTGGGATATGTCAATTTGTTGAATTATAATCCATCACCCCTCCCTTCTCCAATTCTCATCTCCCCAAATCTCCCTCCTCCCAATTCCATGTTAAGGGTCGAAGCATAACATGGCAGCTGCATTGTTAACACCAGGACTCGAATCAGCAAGAACGTTAACCCTACAATGTCCAACCACTCCTTTGGGTTTGCCAATGAGCATTTACAATGAGGGAAAGGTATGTGCCCATCAACCTCCCACAGTGAGCACCCCGGGTTACAGCTCAAACTCATGGACAAGTGGAAAGCAGCAGTTTGACTATTACTTTCATGGACCAGGTGCCCAGTCCTCTCTTCCTCAGACAGCAGCACCCATTATATTATGGCTCCTGGCATTAATGATGTTTTGCCTCAATTGTACAGGAGCTTGGTTACACCGCACTGCACTAGGTGTGTTTTGGTCTCCTTATCTCAGGAGAGATATTATTGACACAGAGGGCACGCAGCAAAGATTCACCAGACTTGTACCCGGAATGATGGGACTGTCCTACAAAGCGAGATTGGACAAACTGGGTCTGTATTCTCTTGGGTTTCAAAGAATGAGAGGTGATCTCATTGCATGCCTTGAACTATTAAAAGAGATACACAAGGTAGATGCAAGTCAGATGTTTCATATGGTTTAGGTGTCTAGGGTGGCACAATTTTAAAATTAGGGACATGCCAATTAGGACAAAGGTGATGAGAATTTATTTTATTTGAAGGGTAGTGAATCTTTGGGAGTGCTATAGAGGCTCAGTATTGGAGTATATTTGAAGTAGGATTTAATACAAAGGGTTATGTGGTAGTGTGGAGAAATGTGTTTGATTAGCCATGATCATGTATAAGGCAAAGGGGCCTGCTTCTGTTCCTTTAATCACCCAACAGTCACCTCAACAATGGCACTTGTGCAGGACTGCCTGGGGCCCAGATTCACTGAGAATAGTTAAGGCAGGAGGGCACTCTAAATAATAAAACAAAGAAAGCAACTATGACTTTTAAAGAAGGCCAATCGGGAGGATTTGTTGTTTTTTCGAGTAAAAATAAATAAATAGGTGGACAGGTGGGAGGAAAAACCGCAAGGGTTGCAGAATGGAAAGAAAATTACCTTTCCAGCCCAGTTTACAAATTGGGAAAAGTAATTGTTTTGGATGGAAAAGCGTAACAATTTACTTGAGTCTCCTGCTGTCAGCTATCAGATAACTGCCATTGTTTCTTTTATCTGAGCAGTTATCTTAAACACTAAGAGGAATCAACACAAAAGCTTTTCAACTTGACATTTGTAAGAGGGAAGAGAAATAAAATTTGTCCCAGTCTGTGGTAACCAATTATTGATAAGTTAGACCAAAACGTGGCTGTTGCTGGGCAGAGAACAGTAGGAAAAGAGTCGGGAGGTTTCTCATACAGTGAAAATTTATTATATTTCTAAAGAAAGGTTAATTTTATTTTTATTTTCGGTCCTTTGACTCCTGCTGATCAATTTCACGGGTCAGTTTCTTAGTTTTGAGTTAATTCAATCAATGTAATATCCATTCGTTTGATTGAAGGGTAACTGTGTTAAATCAAAAGGCAACCACCCAAAATTTCATCTTTCCAAATAACGTGGGGCGCGCAAAGGTTGGAATTAGTTGAGCTGCATAAACATATGATTTATTAAGGAGCGCTCACTCATCGTTAAAGAAACGGTCTTAAAATCAGACTGCTGCTTAATTTAAATACATTTTCAAAACGTAGGAAGGAGGCCAAGACAATTAGAGCACAGGGAGGAGAAATACTTTCCAAAGTATGATACAATATTTATCGAAGCAGAGTTGTTCCCTCTCCATCAAGAGAAAAAGGGCGCCCACAATCAGAACCCTATAATTCCCAAAATATTACAAAAAAAACTGCAGACTCTGGAAATCTGAAACAAGTACAGAAATTGCTGGAAAAACTCAACAGATTTGGCAGCATCTGTGGGGAGAAAACAGAGTTAATGTTTCGGGTGCAATGACCCTTCCACAGCACTTGTGATTCCCTGTAAAATCCCACCTCTGCGCGGACTCATTCTAACACAAATTCCACCAGTCCCCACCCCAACACACAAACACACAGTCACAGAGGAATGGAGAATGTCTTTATAACCTGGTCACTCACATTGTGGAGCTTGAAGTAGAGGCCGCACGCGTTGCACACCGGGTCCCCGTTAGCGTTCCGCCGCCACAGGGTCGTGGTACTGGTCTGACAGTTAGCGCACGATGTCCCTGCTCTCCGGGCGGCCGACTGCAGGGACATAAAACAAGGGGGAGATTTCATTCGAACCTGCGCGTTCTGAAGGGGGCGGTGGGTATGTGAGAATGAAGAGGGGCAAGGGGAAGAATGAAGAGGGAGAAGGAGGAGAATGAAGAGGGAGAAGGGGTAAATGAAGAGGGAGAAGGGGTAAATGAAGAGGGGAAAGGGGTAAATGAAGAGGGAGAAGGGGTAAATGAAGAGGGATAAGGGGTAAATGAAGAGGGGAAAGGGGTAAATGAAGAGGGAGAAGGGCGAGAATAAAGAGGGAGAAGGGGGAGAATGAAGAGAGGGAAGGAAAGTGGTTTATATAATAACTGCGAAAAAAAAATCCAGATAACTTTCTCCATTTGCGTTGCTAATAAACGCCAGCACCTTGTACAGAACACTTTGTCTTAACTACAACCCCTGGGACAGACAGTGCTGAGTGTGTGTGTGTCTGTGTGTGTGTATGTCCGTGTGTCTGTGTGTGTCTGCCTGTGTGTGTGTCTGTGTGTCTGTGTGTCTGTGTGTGTCTGTGTGTGTGCGTGTGTGCGCGTGTCTGTGTGTGTGTGTGAGAGTGTATGTGTGTGTCTGTGTGTGTGTGTGTCTGTGTGTGTGTAACAGGGGAGGAGGAGAAACCCCAGTCTGTGGCTGTCAAACTTCCCTACCCAAATTAAATAACAACCTCTTTATTCTGCAGCCCATGCCCGTCAAAATATATTCGTTATTTTAGCCACAATGTGTAACATCTCAGCAATTTCCCCCCAATTCGTAATGTCCCCGGATAATATATATATAATATATATATATAACCCGCGTGTACGTGAGGAACGTTGGAAAACCTGGATTGTGAAATGCTTATTCAAAAATTCCAGGCGGGGACGTTACTGAACGGAATTAAAAATAATTCCAGTCCCTCTCTCCCTCAGCACCTCTTGGCCGAAAGACATTAAGGTGCACTGACCGCGAAAGAGAAGCGGGCCTCGCGGGAGGGTTTTGTTATTTTTCGCTGAATTCCCTACGCTGGGCTGTTAGAGAGAGCCGGTGTGAAATGTTCGCCGGAGGTTTCGGGCCCGTTACAATATAAAACAATTGAGAAACCAAACGCCCAAAGTTGGCTTTTATTATAGATAACATTCTTTTGCAGAACTTCAACTCCTTTCACTTGCAATGAACTGATTGGCGATGGCGAGATTTTTTTTAAAACGGGTCTGATTTTATTTTTCTCTCTCTCTCTCTCTTCCCCCCCGCCCCTTTCTAATCAGAGTGGCAGAATTTATTACAAGTCTGGTCGGGACAAACTTGAAGATCTCTCGCTCTCTCTCGCTGGTCACGGAACACAACCAGCTTAGTTCCTTATCTTTAACAAACAGACATCCGGTTCGGAACTTGCTGTCAGTATTTATAAAGGCTATTTAAAACCACCCAAACGAAAGTGCAAATTATTGACCATTACCACAAAGAAAACTGTTGTTTAAAAAGAATAAATATATTCAAACACACACACACACGCACAGGGAACAAACAATATGAATACGTACAGATACGGTCTCATTTACGGGGCTGCTATTGGAAAGAAAAATATTGAATACAGAAAAATATTAATGTCATTGTTATTTTTCATCTCCTGGTTTTGATCTCATCGTTTTATTCCGGTTTGACAACCAGAAAGAAAAATAGAGATCGCACCAGTCCGTTTTATTTCCTCTGGGACCCAACAATTACCCATCTTCACCTTCCCAGGCCCCACCTCTCCTTTCAATTTTAAAATTAATTAGTACCGACTGTTTCATAAATTTGCTGGGCAGAGAGCAAATTATTTTGCAATATTTCTGGACCGGTTAAAGTGACACTACAGAATTGTAGCGCAGGCAGGTAATCTGCCCTAGGGTCTTAGAACCGTCAGGATGAATGTTATTTTGGACTACACTGTCTGGTTTTTGCGGGTCTGATTTTGGGACTTGTTAGAAGTATTGTACGGGAATAGCGCCTGCTCAGTTGCGTGTTAGAATCATTAGCAATCTGTTTTGGTCATTGTCCTCGTCGCTGGTAAGAGTTTTGTTTTAATTATCGTCACACCGACGCACTACACACACACACACACACACACACACACACACACAGTCCCTCTATCCCTAAGAATCCCAGTGGCCATTCTCATACGCCTTGCCCAGGGATCAAGCTGAAAGTGATTCAGAAGCAAGGTCAAGGTTATCATCACAACGTTACACACTTGCAAAACCTACCAATCTCCTTTTCGGTTTAATGAGGGGCCTGTTCTGTCCGTTCATCTTATGGTAAAGGCCACAAGCATTGCATAGGTAATGTCCCGTTCCATCTCTCCTCCACAGCGGCGTGGAAGTCGCTCCACAATTTACACACTCTCGTCCCTCTGAAATCAGGGAGAAATGGGAGGAAAAATAATCATCACTGGCCAGCCAGGAATCAAATGCAGGAATCAATGTCTCTGCCCGTGTAACACCAGTCGAATTAAACCCGCCAGCTCACGCCCAATCACATCTTGCCCATTTATTTCAGAATTTGCTTCTGTCCAAACCAATGGACAGGAAGCCCGGGTTTCTATGTAACAAAGCAACATGGCGCAGATACTGTCAAATTAAACTGGAGAGTAGAAATCTTTCGTGTCCCAATTTTAGCTGTTTCCAAATTGGAGAAGGTATCCTTCTGCGAACGCTCCTGTTTCGTTTGTTTCCAATTGAGATTTCTAAACAAAAATGTCATGATTCTGTTTGTTTTTGTTTTGGGTTGGGGGGGCGGGAGGTCTGGCTGAAACACCCAAATGAAATTGTAACCTTTACTTCAGAAAACATCTTAATTATGGAAGATTCAATCAGGAGCAGGTTGGATAAGGTAGGAGTGGGGAAGGGGATTAAACCGATTTCCACCAACAGGCCTCTGGGCCCGGCTGATTAAACCGCGAAATCGATATTTGTTACCGAGAGCCAGAATAAAACCAGGCCAACGATGCATTGATTTTGTCAAGGCGATTGGCTGGAGTATTTACAAAAAAAAGTTCATTCGCTATATCTATCGCTCGCATTTGTCATCCTAGCTACATCCTTATGTTTACTCAATCATTGGATGACTAGCTTGTTTTTTAAAATTTCCCTCCATATCCCCCAAAAACAGAACTGTAAAGAACACACAATGTAGCCTCCTCGCTTTAGGGGGAAACAAACAATTGGCAAGATGTGTTTACGCAAAAGCAATTTGATACAGTATTTAAGGCAGAGAACGAGAGGCGCTAATGGACAGGTTATATCCTGGAAATATTACGCTTTATTTACATAACAGATTTAGCCGATGTGATGACAGTAAACGTGACAGTGGAGAGAGACACACACACCGGCCCAGAACGAGCCCTATAGAATGGAGCCTCTGCCAGAGATCTGAATATTTCAGTAGGTTCCAATTGTCTGGGACCACCCCCATAATACACCCCCTCCCCTGCTGTGAAAGATTAACTGTAGCCTGAGCTGATCCTTGCATTCGATCGCCCTCCCAAAAATCACCGACCCCACACTTTAAATTATTGGCAGCATAAACACACTCTCGACTTCCAGATCGAAGAAAGTTTTATTTTCTTAAAACAATTTTTAAGCTCAATTCGCCAGGAACAGGGCATCTTTTCTTTTTACTGAGGCCCAATGCTTTCTGTACAATTTCACAAATAAACTCAAGCTCCGGAGTTTTGAAGAAGACTGGACTCAAACTGTCTCTCTCTCTCTCTCCACAGACGCTGCCAGACCTACTCAACCTCTCCAGCAATTTCTGTCCTTGTTTCAGATTGTCAACAGCCGCAGTTCTTCGGTTTATATTTGCGTTAAAAATCTCAAGTTCTGGAACTCCCATTGTCTCATATCTTGTTTCCATCAGCAATGTTGCTCGGAGCAGTGTGTTTGTTTTTTGGACGATTTACTTTGTATACCTCAGAAAGGCTAAGAAAAAGTTCCAATCAACATAGCGGCTCGTTAAAAATCTGATTGAAATGCGCGGAGCGACGTGATTGAGGCAGGTCAGAGTGTAAACCCAGACCAGAATTCAGAGACCCCGCCATTAAAAATAAAATCTGCTGGAGAAAAATTATTCCTTTCGTAAACTGAGTCTTTTTCTTTGCTACTGAACTTGTATTTTCTTTAACAATCCTGCCCGATGCATAGAAAAATATATCTCCCACATCTGACCCATCACCCTCCTGTATGTTAAGAAATGTATCTAATTAATATAATTTCACACCAACAGAAAAGCAAATGCAGTTTCACATTTTGAAAGAGAATTGTACGAGTTGGAAATGTGATGGCTCAGAGAGTGCACACTGGAAACAATTTTGTGTCTGAGGGATGTGCGGCCTTTTAAGTTTCAGGACAGTTTGTGTTGTAGAGAGAAGGTGGGGTGGGGGGGGGATGTTGTTTTAGGGTGTTCGGGTCAGGGGGGAATCGGGCCCGATCGTTCTCTTGCAGTGACTGATATTTTAGGTTTCTCCGGGATACAGTGAGCCAGAAAGAAACACATCTGGGCTCACACGGGTCAGTGGCTCAGACAGTAAGCACCGAACTGAACAGAAACCGAGTCTGATTTAACGGAGGCGGCGGTGGGGTTGGGGGGGGGGGGGCGGGGGGGTGCTGCTCTGGAAGGTGTGTGGAAGGACGGGGTGGCGTATCCGAACACTCTGCTCTGAATAATCACCCCCACCTCGTGAAACTTTTAATCGAGCTAAACGGCGATTTGTTTAACAATCAAGGCCTGTCCTTGTTCGGACAAAAACAACGACTTAATTAATATTCACTGAGCAAATTTTTAAAGGTTTAATTTTGGAATCGAAAGAATAGCCCCTCACACTGAAAACGAGACGTAAAACTTCAATTAAAATGTTCCGATTCACTTTTGTTTTCTTTTAAGATTCGTTTGTATGTTAATATTATTTTTAAAAATAAAACAGCGAAAATAATATTTAATGCGGACCTGTTTTTTTTTTAAAATCTATTCCAGTTGTGTTAACTTTCTGATAGTGTAAGTTAATTATAAACTATCCGCGAGGAAGACAAATCGAGTGGAAAATTTAAGCTGAAATAGTCTAATTTTATCTATTAAATTCAAAATGTTTTATTTTAAATATATATGTATGTATCATGAAGATTAAACCGTGACAGTGGGTCAAAGATATTTAAACGAAGTTTATTTTATTATTATTATTATTTTAATGTTCGCTGTCCATTTTAAAAAGGTACTTGCTTACCGGCACATAACCGTGTTTTGCTCCTGGATTTAGGTGTGAAATTAGAGGCGCCGGCTAGGAGACCGCTGGAGTGGAAGAGGCTACTGCTGTAATCGTGGGTACCGTGCACATAGGCAGGGTAGGTGGGGAGAGGATGGTGAGTGGATGCAGTACTCGCTCCAAGCGATGGCATAGAAGTTCTAGAACATTCCAGTTTCATACCCTCAGCCATAGACACATGATACTTAATGGATCCCTTATCATCTTGCCGACCTGCTGCCGCCGCCGCTGAGCTGGAGGGGGACACCGAGCTGTGAGCGCCCAGATCCGGGGACACGTCCTTGGGTGGGGTGGGTGGGAAGCTGAAGAGGTGATGGGGGCTGGAGTGAGCCGCTGCCGCCGCCGCCGCTGCCGCCGCCGCCGCCTGGGACAGGGACGGTGCGGAACCGCTGCCCGGGTACACGGTGATGCTACTCGGGGCGCCTGGGTGCAATGCTCCCTTGCTGAACGGGCTGACGGTCCACGCCGTGCTGTTGTGATGATGATGATGAGCCGCCACCAGCGCTTTACCGCTGTCCAGCCACGATAACCCGGGACTGTGCAGGAGGTGGGGTCGGCAGACCTGGCCGCCCGTCAGGCGAGCTGCAAACAATTTGTGAGACATTCCCCGTCGTTAATTTGTTTTCTTTTGCTCAGCAAACTCACGCAGGCAACATTCTCACATTCCAAGCACGTCAAAAAAGTGACCCCAAAAACTTCTAAACAACCTCCTAAACTCCGCAGAGAAAGAGAGAGGGGGCAGGAGCTAATCTAGAGCCACCCCCCACACTCCTCTCTCACCTTCAAACCGAAAGATTATTTTTCACAACCTGAGAAAATCTAATGATATCTCTTTTTTTTTGATTTCATATCCGGGAAGTAGACGGTTTTGTTCGCCCGCTCTCTCTCTCTCTCTCTCCTACCTCCCCCGCCCCCCCCCCCCCGCCCACCTTTTTAACAATTTTGCGAAACCCGGGGAGGATTTACAACAAAAAAACCCCCAGAAACTCGTCCCCTCCTTCTGCTTTTATCAATGACCAGTTCAGAACAGTGAAACTTAACAAGGAATTAAGTCCCCTCGAATCGAAATCAAAGGCAGAAATCCCGGGTTTTTTTGGGAGGGGGGGTGTTAGAGTGTTGCATTTTTGTGTGTGTGTGTGTAAAAGGGGACTGTTAGTTAGGGAGCTGTTGAATATAATGTCCCTCACCGTGGGCCTGTCGGTAGGAGACGGTGGCACGAGCGTGCGGAGAGTTGCTGTAATAAGGAGAGACCGGGCTGCCCTGACCATCGAGATGGTTAAAAAACACATCGACCTCATCCGGGGGCAGCAGTTGACTGGGCTCCATGTAATTGTGAGAAATGTTCGGGTGAGTTTCCGGGTGCTGAGTGTTGAGGACGGCGTGATGGCTCATCCAGCGAGGCTGTTCCGCAGTCACTTCCATAGCCTTTTCCAAACTGGGTCACTCTCTCTCTCTCTGTTTGTCCTTATTCCTTTTTTGAAGCGGGGGGAGGAGGGAGAGAGGAGGGGAGGGGACTTTTTTTTAAAAAAAGAGTTAAAGCAAAACTGAAAGTCTCGCCTTGGCCAGGCCGAGTGGATTCGGTGCCTCACGAATGAACACGGAACAGCTCACACCTGCAAAACAAAACCGAGAGAGAGACAGAGAGAGATCGGTTAGTTCAAAAACAGCTAAACTATAACAGAGAGAGAGAGACAGAGAGCCAGGCGGATAAACAAATGCACTATTGCATAATTTGAACAAAATGCATTGATAAATACTCACACAAGTTTTGGAAAGTTTAACAAGTCCGGAATGCTAACGAAACAGCAAACCCGCTGTATATTCTTGTGTTGCTGCAGTCGGTGTGGGGAGAGAGAGAGGGAGGGAGACAGAGAGAGACAGAATGTATTAAGGGGCACTGGACGAAAGGCTGGTAAAATGCAAAGCATCAGTGGTTTTTGTGTTCCTGAAACCATTCCACTCCTCACACTGGCGCCAAGCAGCCCAGTCTGGTCCGTAAACATAGTGTGAACCACCCGTCAATAATAACGACAGGCAGCCAATGACAGAGGGCGAACTGACGGGCCGCTAACTCAAAACCTCATTGGCTCGCAGAGAGAAAGAGCGAGAGAGAGGGACAAACGCACACACGCAAATATATAAAATAATCTGTATGTTTACAACTTTAAAATTAAACAAATCTTCTACCGCTGCCATGAAAAAATATCAAACTACAAACCCAACCGCATGGTTTTGACAAACCAGGTAACTGAATCGTTCGATTTATCCACGTCTTAAAAAGAGACGGATTTGAAGAATGAACTAAAAAGGGTTTTGTTTAATACAATAACCTGCAATTGTTTGTAACTTTATTCGAGTACAGGGTCCCTTTCACTGTAAATATGTCTTTGGCAGATTTAGACACGAAGGGGGCAGGGGGTGGGTGTCATTGAAATTCTTTTTAACAGGTTCGATTGAATTAGCTTTGTCAACAAGCCACATAAAGTGCGCACTTTGAGACGGAGTCGGGACACCAGTGCCCCCAGGGTTTTGGTCTCCCTCTCTCGCCCTGTTAGTCTTTATGCATTAGGTTTGCCAGGGGTTGGGGGGTTAAGGCGGTGTGTAATTGGGTAATGGGAGGAACTCCGTTTGATACAAGCTACAGATCACATACCCCGCCACTCTGACGCCGCGGGTCTGACGTCACCTATCTTGCAAAAATTTAACCAGGAAATGAAAATTTTCTCTCTTTAGCCCCCCCCCCCACACACACAACCCCAACTTCAATCTCTCCCCCTCCCCTTCAAACAGAAAGTCATTTTTTGGGAAGGTAGTCTCTGGGGATAGGATCGAGTAAAACGAGCCGGGAATTACAAAGACCAGCATCTAAATCTCGCCTTTTATTTTCGTCCCAAACCTGCCTGGAGTCAGGGTTTATTTAGCGACGGAGGGAGTTTGTGCAGGGAGCCGGGAACAGGGTCTCCAGCCTATTCTTGTGTGAATGTTTGTGTTTCGGGCACAGTTTCCTTTTGAAACGACAGAACAGTTCTGCATAACCAGTGGCATAAAAGACTTCAGAAAGGCTTTCTTGTGAACATGCTTTCATTCTCCTTGCTCAAAAAAAACCCCTTTTCCTGCTACGTTGCCCCTCCTGCATTGTTAAATAATTTCCACACGCGTCTGGCGTGTTGAAAACGGTACATATACAATTGTGGGGCAGAATTGGAATTCTGGAGGTAGCGAGCTGATGTTTCCAACACCCAGTTTTGCGGACTTTAGTCACGAAAAGCCAACCGTTCAAGTCGATTGTAACCGTTGCGCTGTCTATCGAATCTGAACATCAGGGTCACAACTTGGTTTCTGAAGGGTTTGAAAGTGGGGAAACGGAGAGGAGGATGATAGCCATCGGAGCGAGGGGTGGGGTGAGAGTGAGAAACCCGCTATCCTTTTCAAATGGCAAATTAATTTCCCACCCCCGGAAAAAAATATCTAAAGAACCGCGGATGCTGGAAATCTGAAACATAAACAGAAATTTCTGGGGAAGGGTCACAGGACGCGAAACTTTCTGTTTCTCCCTCTCCGCGGATGCTAAGTTTCTTTCAACAATTTCTGTTTTTGTTCTTTAGTTCCCCCACATCTAGTTGCATCTTATTCCCTGATGTGAGCCGAGTATCATGTTCAACAGGGTTCCAGCCTTGTTTAGCCCAAATCCGGACAGTTTGCTGTCTGCTGGACTGTGTGAAACATCAACGATTTCTCTCTGATGCAGAAATTCCCTTCGCCAACACTAAACTAGCTGGAACCCTGATCAGATGCGTAATCATTTCGTGTTTATTTGGGGGAGAGATAGGCATTTTATATCTATCTGTAATTAGTAATGTAGTGCCCCGTCCATCCGCTAAACGAGGGACTCCAGTAAAATATGTGTAAAATCATGCTCTGGCCTTTTCGGTTCAACTGACCATGGGATCCTGTAGGAAGGAGTCAGCTTATCAACGAGGTAACTGATTTCATCCCCAACCCCTTCTCTAAACCTCAGTGGGCCCAGATGAGTGTTTGAAGGTAGGAGGAAGGGAAGATGAAAGAGGAAATGTTCCCATAGAACGGAGGGACAGTGTCCGGGAAGAGAGGCTGGTTTAAGGTGATCGGCAAAAGAAACAGATGGAACATGAAGATTGATTAAAACTAAAACAACTACAGCAGTGACCTGCAGGGATCCAGGGCACTCTGAACAAGAATGTCCAAAATAATATTAAACAATTTGATCCATTATTGACAGGGAAGAAGGCTGCGCAGTGACAAGCAAAGACTAGGATTGAACTGTCAAAGGGCCAGCACTGATTCGATGGGCCAGCTGGCCTTTTGCTCTGCTCTACCATATTTCATTCCATCAGCACCTCCCGGTCCGCTCTTTTTCACTCAATACTAAAAACAAGACTAGAAGCAAAAACCGAAAGGCTGATACAATCCAAACTTAAGAGCTGACAAGAGACGGAATCTTTTGCAAGTGTCCCCGAGCGCTCTCCATCCAGGAGGCAAATTCTGGATCTCCGCGTGGAGGGGAAACAGGGTGAATTGGGGTATCAGACAGTGCCGTAAAACATTTAAATTAAACTAACAATTCAACCAACTCTCCCGGCTCCCTCTGTGCGTTGTTATTCCCTATATCTACATTGATCTGACTAAAGACAAATACAGTGTTTATTTGCTTATGTTTGGTGTGAATTTTGAGAGATTTCTGAGAACGCCCCTGGGTGCAGTGAGATGCTGAAGAGAGAGCATCGATCATTTCGGAATAGCTGAGAGTCTCACTGAACGGGAATTCCGCGCATCCTGATCATTGAAGTCTAAAGGAACCCGCTGTCTCTTCTTAAAAAATTAAAATACAACTAAAGACGGAAGACAAAATACACTCACCGCTAACATAGCAGCAAGACTGTGACAAATTCATTTAAATCTCGGCTTTTGTAACCGTGTTACCTTCCCTGGTCCTACAACCCTACATTCCCAACCTAAAGCCTGTCAATTGTCCCGAAGTGAATTTATACCGTTTTACTAAAACAAACTATTTCAATTTACCCAAAATTAAATTTAAAAAAATGCTAGAATTGCTCAGAATCTGTTCACAAAGACGATTGTGTACAGACTGAATGTAATTTTTTTTAAAGAAATGAGAGAACAGAATTGAAGATGCTGTTTGAGAAGGGACTGGGATAAATTGGAAATGGGTTAGAAAAGTGGGTCAACGATGGATTGAGTGATACTTAATGACCCCGCTCTCACCTTCAGGATTTGTCTGTGTGTGTGTGTGAGAGAGAGAGAGAGAGAGGGTCTCTTTTGTCCTCTGTTCACAACCCTCTCCAGATAGACACACACACATTTCTCTCCCAGAACGGTGCTCCAGTTAACCCACTCGGACATCTGTCTAACTATTCCTTAGCGCCGATCTCCCGCCCGGGTTAACCCGTAACCGGAATGTTTCAGTCCCCTCATCCCGGGTGTGAACGGACCGTTAAACCGGATTAGCCAGGTTCCATCCTTTTACACGGTCCAGCTTTCCCTTCGCCGCTCGCAAAATTCATGGCAATTGCGATTTCACGCTGCAAACATTTGCAGGAAAAAAACATGCTGCAGGTAATTTGCCGCGCAACTTTAATCTGGCGGGTAACAGGGAATATTGAACAAATCAACTCGGATTAATATCGCTGTTACTTTTTCGGTTGTCCACCGCTTTAAAGAATGCGGAAAATCGACGGAATTCTTTCGCAAAGGGAGAGAGAGACACAGAAAACAAAAATCGCCTGAATAACAGGCAAGGGTCCAGTCTGTACGATACTTTGAAACAATATTTGTAATAACTTTTCTTAAAAAAACTCGAAATAGATTTCAGCCTGATATTCCAAACTCCACACTCGTCCATAAACACTCACACCATCCTAATTAATAATTTCCATATATTTTATTAATAATGGCGGTTTGTATTAATACCGAAGGCGGTGATTTAAATTGTTGAAGACATTATCAATCTGGACCATATTACTTCCCTGTCTTTGAAAACAGAAAAGGTTAGCACTTGTTTGGTGCAATTTATGTTGTTTTAAATCGATGTTTTATGCACAGTGCGTCCAGATTTTGATTCTAAAAGCCTCAGAACAGCTGGATTGGTTCTGTTACTGGCCGGGGGGTACTTAAGAAACTAAAGCCTATTTAATTGGGAAAATCTGGAACCCCTACAATGTTCTCTGGTCAGTCAGGTTCCGAGCGAAGGTGTAAATCGTGCGATAGTTAACCCCGAGCGTTATTATCGCCGTAAAATGTTAACCTTCGGTGCAACATCGAGCCGGAACCTGGGTGATAGCTGCAAAGGTGAATTTAAATCTCGCCAGTCTCCCCGCCGGAGCAGCAGCATTTTAACTTGTGAGCCTTCTCGAGCGTGAGAGATAAAATGAGTGACTGACCTTTCTTGTTGGAGGCGGTGAGGCGCGGGGACTGATACAGGCGATGCCTCGCTCTCACTCTCTCTCCCAGGCGAACTGCACTGAATGCAGCGCTCCTCCCGGGCGCTGGCTGTTGGTCTTTGAGGGTTTAATGATCCCGGCCCCAGCGCTGGCCAATGAGCGGAGGATTCAGGTGAACCAAAAATTCAGACACGTACCGCTCTGCTCAGCACCAGCTCTTCCGGGTTACACTGGAACACAAACATTCAGGTGAAGCCCGCATGCAGCTCCTGTAACAGAGTCTAACAGGCTCAGTATTTACACAGTGTCCCAGTTCCTTAATATGACGCAGGCTGCCCCTGCTGTGTGAAGGCTTCATGCTCAGCAACAAACTTACTGCACATACACACACTCACTCACTTACACTCACACACACACTCATACATTCACACACACACTCACTTACACACAGACACACACACATTCACTTACACACACACATACTCACTTACACTCAGACACACACTCACATAGACACACATTCACTTACACACAGTCACGCACACTCAGACACACACTCACTTACACACACAGTCACACACATACTCACACACACTCACTTACACACACTCACTTGCACACACATTCACTTACACACACACACAGATATACACACATTCACACATATACACACATTCACTTACACACACAGACACACACACAAAGAGACACGCACACACTCACTTACACAGATAGACATACACACTCAGTTACAAACACTCACAGACACACACATTCACACACACAGACACACACAAACACACACACATTCACATACATACAGACTCAGCCTCTCTGTCACACACACTTTCACACAGACACACACTCATACACACACAGACACCTCCTCACAGACACACACACGCACACAGACACACACACGGTGTGTTTACAGTACAAAGCTTTCAGCACACACAGTACATGCAATACAGTGTGGGATGCCTGACATACACGCAGTGGGTATCCCAGACGCGATTCTACAAGAAAGCTCGAATATCAGGTCCATACAAAATACTTTTCTGATGAAGGGTCTAGGCCCGAAACGTCAGCCTCTCTGCTCCTATGATGCTGCTTGGCCTGCTGTGTTCATCCAGCCTTGCACCTTGTTGTCTCGGATTCTCCAGCATCTGCAGTTCCTACTATCTCCCATACAAAATACTTTTGTCGAGTAAGTTAT